TTTTGAGCCTTTAGGGTGCTCTCCTGGGACTCCAATGATGTTTCCAATTGCAACAGCTCCTCCTGCAGCACGGGATGAGCAATGACAATGGGACAGAGATCACAGCTACATTCTTTGGCTAAATTTAGCTGATGCTTTCAAATGCAGAAAGTTTGTATCATTTTTACATAGCTGGACCTTCAGGTTGGACACACTGCGGTAGTCTGACAGGTTCCTCCCCTTGACCGCTATGCTATCTGTTGCCTTATTTGATCCTTTACTGCTGCATTCCATGAAGCCCATTTTACAGTCTGTCCTGAAGCAGAATTCTGGTCATTACCAGGTCCACATGCTCCCACTCTCCCTTAGCTGTTTCAGCGTGGGTCTCCTGGGGCTGCTTGACCTCATCTTCCACCTCATCAGTTTCAGTTTCTGCTGGGCGTCCCCCCTGCTGAGTCTCTTCCTTCACTGGGACTTCCTCTTCCTCCACACTGCCATTGTCCTCTTCCTCCACACTGCCATTCTCCTCTTCCTCCTCCTCTATATCTGACACTTCGATGAAGCTACCTGTGGAACCATGACATCTGAACATTGAGATTAGTTCCACCAGCACCACCCAGGATGTTCTGTAGACAATCACACAACCAGCTCCTTCATCATGGGATTGTGCTCTACAGCGCCACCTTGTACCAGATCAATAAACAGCTATTCCATGCATGTGTGGGTACGAAACTCATACATATCAAACATACATACATGCATTGCTTGATGGTGTTTACATCATCCTACCTTCAGAGTCACTTTCTACATTCACAGCTTTCCTTTCAACAACTTCCTCAATATCGGTTGGGCTTTCCTCAGTGCCATTTCCTGGTTCAAAGGTCACTTCCTGTCTGTTGGGCAGAGGATACTGGGTAGGATGTGACAGCTGACATTCTGACCTCATCACGTCCTCTTTGGCATTGTCCTTATCCAAAACAAAGCTGGTCAGAGATGAGATGGATCCTGATTCTAGTTTTGATTCTTGTATCTGACCTAGAAATTTTATTTGCTCTTGACCAGATGAAAGAGAAGACTCAGAGGCTGGTGGGACTGGTCCAGCATTTGAGACTGTGGAAATGAGATGGGAATTATCTGTCATCTCCTTATTGTCCCCTACTAAGCTACAGTGGAGGTCCTTGCTATTGTCTTCCATGGAATCATCTATTTCACTCTCTGAGCTGGTGATATGAATGATGGAATCAGCCAGTGGCTGGATGGGAGCTGTGGAGTGGCCAATCAGAAGAGTGGTATCTGCTAGCTCCTCATTCAGGGATGGCTTGATAGGGATTGATGTGAGGGGCGGGGTATCGTCACTGGAGTGGCCAATCAGACTGGTGGTATCTGCTTGCTCCTCATTGAGGGATTGCTTGATAGGGCTTGATATGATGGGTGGAGCACTTCCACGGAAGTGGCCGATCAGACTAGTGGTATCTGCTAGCTCCTCGTTCAGGGATTGTTTGACAGGTATTGATGTGAGGGGCGGGGCATCTTCACTGGAGTGGCCAACCAGGCTGGTAGTATCTGCTAGGTCTTCATTCAGGGATTGCTGGATAGCCAGCATGGTACGAGGTGACAGTGGCTCATTGGGGTGATGTTCCCCAAGTATTATGACGTCTCCACTTTCTTCATCTGAGCTACTGTCCATCATGGCTGCTTGGATGGCCTTCAGGGTCCGTGGTGATGGAGGTGCAGCTTCTGCGGCAAAAGTGTTATTGGGTGGGGAGGGTGGAGGCGATGAAAGAGGTGCAGTATCTGGAGAGAGAGTGTTAATAGGTGGGGAACGAGGCTTCTTTTCAGGACTGTTTTCCGAGAGGGGGCGCCAGAGTGGTTCTGGCCTCACTTTTGTTGCTGTGGTACCAGTGGGCCAAGGCTGAATAGCCAGCTCCTTCTCTGGAAGTTTGTCCTTGTCCTTCGATCCTGAGAAGGACATTTTTTAGCTCATGTTACAAACATATCATATAAAGTTCATACCAAGTTTGAAAAAGTAGTATTTGCCAGACTTCCTCTGCCTTGCCAGATTTTAATAAAACACTATAACATTTGATATAATTAAACTGAGCAGTTAATTATGTGACTATAACACTTTGAGTGAGAAATTTAAGAACACAAGAGTGATAATTTCCACTTTCTACTTGTTGATCCAATAACTGTTTTTGCAGCTGTATAATTTGATTAGCAGGTGTTTGCTTCCATGTGTGATTTACATAATGGAGGACGTTTCTTATTTGGCCAGATGGTGTAAAAGCCTTTCAAATGATTATAAAATAAATGTATCCCACCAATCAAATGTTATGACATAATGTTATAGTGTTAAGCTAAATCACGTCTATCACACCGTCCACCATATTTTTATTCCTCCGAGTGTGCCCAAATGCATGTACCTTTGATGAGAATGTAGTGGGTGGTGTCCTCTGATACCAGGGCACGGGTCTCCACACTGCGGCCCCCGTCTTCATCCTCCTCCAATGGCCTGAAGCCCCGTTGCGCCATCTCCCGTTGCACACCCTCCAAACGCTGGTTAAGCTGGTTCCGCTTCAGCAAGCCGGCCAGCTGGTACTGGGAGAAATCCTTGGATTTCTGACAGGGAAAACCAATGTCAATCTCTCCTACTGTGGCTCACAAAAATCAGGGCTCTGGAATAATTCCAGGCCAAATACACCACTTAAGGTTTCACAAATGAAAAACTGGATAACGACTGTGGGATATTCCAAAATGGCATGCATGGTATTTATCTCAGATAAAAGTACATCAAGCTTCTGCCAGCTCTTATGACAATTCTAGCTTTATTTTTTACTGCAAATAGCAACTCTGCCAAAAGTAATTCTAAACAGCACACTCAAACTAATGAACGCTTAAACGTCTGCTTAAGGGAATATGAACACATAAAACACATAAAACACTGCGCAAAGTGCAGTGTGGGGGCTGGGGGCCACTGTCAGAACCTCTGGGGGTCTCTGGAACATGGTCCGACGTTTCTTGCTAAACTCCTTCATTTCCGTCAGGATCTCATGTTTGACCTCTGCTGGCAGTTGTGCGAAATCCTCTGAGTCAATGTCCATAGAGTTGGGATTCATAAAGATCTCCTCCTACCAGAAAACTCTACTTTACTCATGCAGAAAAAAACTGGTATTAACAACAACAGCCAGAAGAGGATTAAATTGCTGTAACCACAATTAATCAGAAAAAATACAAGAGGTATAATTGTATTCCCAGCCAGTAACAGATACATTGTGTTTTAAAAGGACACTATAAATCACACCTTCATTGCAAAATCATCACATAATGTATCAAATTGGAGCCCTGACACTGCATAACCCATCCATCTTCAGCAAGCTATCTTTGCATATACTTCAAACATGCAGTACCTGTAACAAACGTCGATTCTGCAGGCTCTCTTCCCATTCCATTTCTGCTTCATCCTCAGAACTGCCCAAACAAAAATAAATACACTTTAAGTCAATTTACTGAATGCTGTTTTAAATGAACTAAAGTTCAAAATTATGAGAGTATCAGATGTGCACATATTTAGTCACAGGAGGAGAAATTCTTCTTACTAGCCTTACAAACCTGTCATCAGGTTTTGCATCGCCTTAGGTACTTCGAAAATGCAACAAATACATTTTTTTTCCCCAACTTCACCTGTTTGTCTCCTTTTCTAGGGTCGGCAATACATAGATGTCATCAACTTCTTCTCTTCTGACAGATGAAATACTAGGCAGCTCCTCCTGACTGAAACGAGACAAAAAGTGACAGGTGTGTGCATCTCGTCAGTGTTTCCCGTGTCCTGTCTTTCTCTCCACCAGCAATGTTCCCCACTGTATCACATCATTCTCACCTTGCGTTCCCGAGCGCAGCCTTGATAACCTGTCTTTTCAGGAACGTCTTGAGCAGTTTCTCATTGGTCTTCTTGGATTCCATGTTCATTTCTTCTTTCCTCTGTCGACGAATGGCCTGGCAAACCAGATGGATGAGACTGTCATTGGGAGAACTCCTCCACTTTGACTAATCCCATTTTCTTTATAGTCTCTCTTTCAGCCATGAATCTCTCTGACAGATTCTGCCAGACTTACCAGAGTCTGCTTCTTAAGAAGCGGTGCATCCCCATCATAGATGAAGACGGGTTGAATGCGGAAGAAAAGGAGCTTGCAGAGTCGGTTGAAGAGAGTGAGGAGATGAGCATTCTGGACACTGTTTCCCTCGCGATCCCTCACGCCCTTCACCGCTTGATTCAGCCAGATACTGATGTCTGTGTTAACATTTAGGAATCCGTACATACAGGCAAGTGCAAACCTGAGAACATGGAGACCATACAAAAATAAATACACAACCACTTTTACACTCAAGTACAAATAAGATGCAGCAACTAAATAAACGTTAACTTTCCACAAGAAAGGATACCGACAGCAAGAATCTTTCCCTCTAAAGTCTCGGGATTAATAGGTTTCCCGGTGCTCTCAAGGAGTTTCCACAGCCCGTGTACTCCCATGGCAGGACACTATTTCGCCGGTATAATTCTGACTGCCTCCAGAATGAAATCTAACTAGTTGGAAGTAGCCTACAAGAACAAATAGCCACAGAGTAAATATGCGACCAGAAACACTTCAAATCTATCTTTAAATACATTATTTTAACTAAACCGGTTAACTAAGAACGGATGTATAAATCGGTCCGCCACGAAAACATTAAAGTGAAAAAAGGGGTTAATATTAGGTGCATCCGTTATTACATTCCTACAGCACAACATAATCACATCACGATAGTTCCGCCTACTCCACACATTTTCAAAAGTACAGTCAGAACTAGAAAGTCGTTAAATTCTTTAAATGCCATCTGAAAATGTCGTTGATTTAAGCGAATTTTAATCTCTTATGATTATTTTTCATATTGAGTATTCATTGAAAAACAGTTTGCAGCAATAGTTGAGCGTACGCGCATCCAGGCGTGTTCTCGCCGCCGAGCACAAACGGAAGTGCCCTGACGTCACCGGATACTTTCGTTTCCGACTGGGGATGGAGTCCGCGGAGCTGAGCTGTTAGAACGGCGCTCCATTGGTTTAAATCATCAGGGGATTTGTTTGCTATTTCGTTTCATTTGGTACGATTGTTTTACTTTTGAATTTCATTCATATCAGCTGAGAAATTATTAGCGGAGATTATGAAATGTATGTTGTTTGTTCGGCGTTGTTCCAGTTGATGTTTAAGTTACGTCGACGCCTGTACAGGAGCTTGGCAGTTATCTGTACTGTACTTGCATTGAAGTAACAAGCTAGCTAATTTGTTGTATAAAATGTTAAATCTCTTCCCATCCTTTAAGCCCACTTAACTAAATCAGTAAATGAATCAGATGCTTTCCACTATTACTTAATCAGGAAATATATACTTTTATCTGTTTATCGAATTTCGGGAATTTTTCCCTTCCTCGTTTTGTTTCGATCAGACGATGCGTCATCTGAAACGTTTGTTTTCCATTACGCTTCCTAACAGCAAGTTATGTTTTCTCTAGACACTGTTCAATTTCAATTTTTTCTTGATTGTAATTAGGCCACCCTAGTTTTACCATTTAATTCAATGCAGTGAATTATAGGAACGCGAGCCTCGCACACATGATTGCTGTACGTTGTGCTGCAGTTCACGTGGTGTGTAGCATTGATTATCCGCGCGGCTGATTATTTGATCTTAACACTTATGTGCTCACGAAACAGGAGCCCTGTAAGATCTAAACTGGCTTTGTGTGGTGTTTGCAGCATTAAAACTGAAGTTCTCCCTGAAAGCACAAACGATTTTTTACCTCAATTGTGCCCACGATGTCAGCTGTCCTACAAATTAAAGGTAATGCACTTTTCATGTTATCTTGGACGAATATCGATCTGTTGCAGTAACACACTAATAACCTTGTGTTAATGCTAATATTAATGTCTAATAATGTCACATATAACATGAGTGATTATCAGTTAGTAAAACAGCATCGACATTGACTGTATCAGTATGTGGGCATTCACACTGAGTAACTGTGTTGCAGCCCCAGTGCCTGTGCGAGGCTCTGGAGATGGCATGGAGACGGATGTGGTGCCGAGTGCCCCGGAGGTCACCGCGGAATCGCAGGCGGAGGTGGCCCCGCTCCAGCATAGCCCCAAGACCACGCCTGTAGCTGTGCTCCGCCCAGGGGTGCTCCACCTCGGCAAGGTGGGTCGCGAGGCGTGTACGGAGGTGGAGGCCACACGTATCCTGGTGCCCCATGCTGCCATCAGCAGAAGCACACGCGCCCAAGCACCACCTCCGGCCCCCGGCCTTGGGGAACAGGGTCCGCCGGAGTCCTGCAAGTCGGCTCCGGACTGGAAGGCCACTCTGGAGAAGCTGCAGAACTCGGAGCATCGGCTTCTGCGGGACAAGGAGGGGCTGTCTAATCAGCTGCGCGTTCAGACTGAGGTAGGTTGGGGCAAGGAGCTCTGCAGGTTCCCCCCCAGGATCTCACCGTTATCTTCTCATCGCTATCGATGTGGTGAATCGCACAGCGTGACCCTTTGATTGGATTTTTATGTGCAAATCGGCCAAAAGTAATTTTTTTTTTGCAAAAATGTATGAATAATGGAAAAAAGAGTGGTATTTGGTTATGTAGGTGTGGAGTTACCAGCATCTTATAAAACTTCAGGGAATGTGAATTTTTATCGGTGTTATGGGAAGAGCAGGTTAAAAATGCCAATGAGGTTCTCCCACAGTCTCTGACATTGTTAGTGTTTTTATGTACAATTGTGTGGCTTAAGCTTATCCTGTGTGGTTACATTTGGGTCACATGATCCTGATGTTAAAACAACCCTACAGAGGAAATGCAGTGACCCCTCACTGCATTACTCACCATATTCAGCACTGTGGTATTTTACCTGCATAGTGACAGGCCCCGCTTGCACTCTGCAGGTGAATCGGGAGTTGAAGAAGCTGTTGGTGGCCTCGGTGGGGGACGACCTCCAGTACCACTTTGAGCGTCTAGCCCGGGAGAAAAACCAGCTAGTGCTGGAAAACGAGGCGCTGGGCCGGAGCCTGGCCCACACGGCCGAGCAGCTAGAGCGCATGAGCATCCAGTGCGACGTGTGGAGGAGCAAGTTCCTCGCTAGTCGGTGCGTCTGCGCATCAGCCTGTCCGTTTGCGCATGTGAGTGAGTGTGTGTGTGTGTGTGTGGGTTCGTCTGACATTTTCTGACTGCCAGGGTAATGGCTGACGAACTGACCAATGCGAGGGCGACCCTGCAGCGCCAGGCACGCCAGGCCCAGAGCGCCATCCAGGATCTGCTGTGCGAGAGGGAGGAGTTCTCTGCCCACATGCTAACCACGCACAGGTAAAAGCCCCCCCACTGCATGCCACTGGAGTCCCCGGGTTGAAACGGGTTACGGGACGCGTCACTGTTTCCCGCAGGGCCCTGGAGCAGCTGCTCGTGTCGCTCCAGTGGGGCAGGCAGCAGACGTACTACCCCAGTGCCCAACCACTGAGCACCGGCGAGCTGGCGGCGTCCAATAAGAAGCTCGCCGAGGCGGTGAAGTCACACCTGCTGGGGAACGTGGGCGGCAGCGGCCTGAAGACGACCCAGGCGTCTGAACTCTGCAGCTCCCCGGCAGAGAAGATGGCTGAGAAGGTGTGAGCGTCTCCGCAGGGGTGTCTGCCTGCCAAACATCTCAAGCTTGATTAGTCTTTCGATGGGAGACGTCTAGGGCAGTGTTCCCCAAACTGGTCCTTGGTGACCTCCAGGTGGTCTATGTTTTTGCTTCCTCCTGGGAGCTGGGAGGGAACAAAAATGTGGACGGTCTGGGGGGTCCCCAAAGACCAGGGTGAGATACTGCTCTAGGGAACATTATGTACCAGCTGGGAGAAGTATTAGACAACCAGATGGGGGCACTGTTCTCCCGAACCAAAATACCAATACCCCAGTGCAGTATCGGACAGTCAGATGCAGAAGGTCCCTCTCTGGTCACTGCGTATTGCATGGTGTTCCCATAAAAGCCACATTAACCCAGTTAGGAGGTACAGACAATCTCTTTCAGCCTTCCAGAATCCCAGTTGAATGCATTTTTCTTATTTTATCACTGCAGTTCCTCTCTATCTCACCCAGTTCTTATACCCTGACACACATTTCTTGATGGTTGTGATTATTTAAACTCAAATTCTGTTTCTTCTTTACAGGTGTTGAGGTGTCTGGATCCTATACAGTGTTCTGATGACCAGTGTAACTCCTCCTCCTCGACATTTTTGTCCAATAAGAAGAACATTGGGCGGTTTCATCCGTACACCCGCTATGAGAACATAACCTTTAACTGCTGTGAACGGTGCAGTGGAGAGCTGCTTGTGCTGTAGGTCACACGCTCTCACTTTTGCTTTGAAAACAGAATTTCTGTGCTCTCCTAAGGAGAGTGAAGACTGCTGTGGGTGTTTAAAGTGATCCTTTTAGATGGAGTACAGAGGAGAACTTTCCAGACTTTTTATCTTTTGATATGATTGCAGGTGGTAATGTTAGATCCCTCAGTGTTAAAGGAATGGTTTCTGTAAGCTGGTAAGCTTGAAACTGAAGTATTTTTTGAGTGGAATTAAATGACTGACTTATCAATGGATAGATCCATGGTACTAAGAAGTTATCTGCATATGTAAAAAAAAAAAAAAGAGTAAAATGAACAGTGCTGGGATTTATGCCTTTTTCCTGCCTTTTTTGTTTGTTCATTGCAAGTTTTCTTTTCCCGTTTAAAATGAGTTTTGAAATTCTGCTGATTTTCAATCAGCGATGGCCTTTCTGACGTGTTGACTGGCCACCTCTTGGTAGGAAAGGGCCTTCTGCCCCCTGTGACAAGCTGTATGTCACTAGGGTGGAACTGGAAGCACCGTTGCCATCTGAATTAACCCCAAGAGTCGTAAATATTTGCTCCCAACTCTTTCTCGCTGCTGGTATGTGGCTTATTGAGTTGGGACGCTGCGCCTATAGTCAAATTATTTCAAATGGTTCAAATCCCAAGATGAGCAGAGTGATTTCGGCTTGGGGGCCGAGAGGATTTGCTCCAGGGTCTGTCTGATCCTGCTCTCTCAAAAAATGTATGTCACTTTGGATAAAAGCATCTGCTAAATAATTAGAACTGTAAATAAACATGACAGTTTAAAGTCTTAGGATGGGCTCTGTTTGCATTTCCTATGAGAAAAGTATTTAAGACAAATGGCTTCAGTAGAAAGAAACGGATTGTATAAAAGTGTTGATCGATGTACTGTAAGCATTGGCAGTGTTATGCATTAAGGAATCCTGCAGGCCAGATTAATAGTGAAACCTGTCTGTCTCTTGTGGTCTGGCCCACTAGAGAGACTGTTAATTTATAAAAAATATTTATAGGTCTCTAAATTTTTTCCTCTCCAATCATGAGCTGTGTGACCAAATAAAAATTGTGGCCTGAGTGAGTTTTAAATGTGCTTGAGTGTCTGTAAAAATAATAATAAAAAAAAAGTTTTATAAAACTTGGAGGATTTACTGTGTCCTTCAACAGTCTGTTAACAGTAGTGACCTAATGTTCTGATGAATTTGGCATAATTTTTGCATCATTAAAGCCTGTTAAACATGGAAAATGTTATGATATATGGATAATAATGACAGCAGTAAATGCAATGCAATTTTGTGGTGATCTAGGCCTTTTCCTGGAAATGCATCCTGAAGATGCCGCGTGTGGCTCTTTCTGTTGTTTGTGTCAAACTGACAGGAGTATCTCGTATCACAACATGAATTACAGCAGGTTCCTTCTTCAGAACACCTACGTTTCCATTTTCCTGACAGTTTATATACGCAGCACATTGTTGGTTGCAAAATGTTTCTCAAGGGGAGCGAAATGGATTTGGAGATTCAAGGTTGTTCCTGCGAGGACCTCATTGCTCTTGCATGCCTGTTTTTCTGTTGTTCTGTCATTCTTTTTGATTTACAGTGTTTATGTTCAATTGTTTTTATATAAAATGCACAGTTTCTATACCAAAACCCCTCCATAGCAAAATTCTGTTTCTATTCTCTGTAATGTATTTTAGTCACTTGTTGGTTCCCCTCACTTTATTTTAGAAAAGTAAGAACGTCTTTGACGGGTTTGTGTTTTTTCCAAGCTTGGAGTAATCTGGGGTTTCTCAAGCCGAGTTATTTGTGGCTTACTTAATTTGAGATGCTATAAAATATGCTTGTGCAATGAATGTTACACCGTTGTCTGGAAACTGATGAAAACAGCAGGGGGGGGGGGGGCGTCCTCCAAGCTCTCTGGATGTGTCAGCAGTGTCCTCCAGGATCAGCAAGGGTGTTTTTTTTTCTGGGACGATAAGCAGTCTGATGTGTTCAGTGTTCAGCCACCTTATCGGCAGCAACAGCCAAACAGATGCTATGTGCTTCTGAATCAAAAAGACAAACTGTGCGAATGCCTGTTACTCTGCTTTTGACCGTACATTTGTACACAGGGTTTTACTTTCAGTATAGCGCCGAAAGGTTTTATACTCCATGTACTACATGCTGTTGCACAACCCTCTTTTCCCACTTCTAAAATGCAAAAACCTTTTTTAGATAGATATTTTATTAACGCCAAAGGCAATTCGTAATGGAACCGCAACCCACACTAATAAATGGTGGTAAACTGTGTATACAGTGCAGAAAACTCCACACGGCACCGCATGTAGTGATGGCTCAGAAATATGCAGTATCGCACAGTCCTTAAGTATCCTAGTTGTGTGGCTCTCCATTCAGTACAGTGGATTGAATAAATACAATAGATGAATAAATGTGCAGTGAATATTCACTGAAATGTGCTTAAAGCAGCTCAGTTCCCCGCCTCACCTTAGGGTGACTTCTAGAACCTAATGGCCGAAGGTAGGAACCACTTTATGCAGCACTTCTTGAAGCAGGACACAAATGTCTCTGCCTATTGCTGGAATTGTACCACTCTTTAGAGTGTTTCTGTAGCATTACTGCTACAGTAAATGGTGGCCATCCAATCCAAGGTGTCCCCTGTCAACACCCTGTACCTTCTGGGATGGGCTCTAGGCTCTGAGCCAGTACTGAATAATCGGAGATGAAAGATCAGTTGTTAACTCACGTCATCTACAGCTGCATTTCTGCAAGAGGTTCTTTCAATTACCAGGTGAACTGGAGTCTTAGAAGGTCATGAGTTATCAGTTCCTGCTGTAATGGTATAAGCTTGGGTGTATTTCTCTGTATTATGATGGGTTTACAGTTTATCAGACAGTTTTATCCATGGCAACACCTGCTTTTTTTGGAGAAAACAGGGTCAGAAAAGCAGGGGTCAGACAGTCCCTAGAGCAATTGGGTGGGGGGAGTTGGGCCTTGTTCAAGAGACCAATGGTGCACTCACTCTGCCAACCCTGGGATTTGAGCCAGCGAGCTTCTGATCACAGGCATGGCGTTGTAACCCACTGAGCCTCACACGGCTCTTGTTTGAGGTTAGCCAGTTTGGCTAGGTGGCAGTTTCACTAGGTGATGGTGACCTCACTGAGAGCTGGGAATCAATGTAATGTGGTAATTACCTACTACTGTGCTCAAGTCATGGACAGATCACTGTTCAGGGCTGAGGGTCTGAATCCTGTTTCCCCTGTGGAATTTGAGGGGGAAACAGTGCTCTTGAAATGCATGTAGTCTCGGGATGAACGAGGGAGATGATTGACTGCTCTGCGATGACATCAAGCACCGGCGTTTCCAGCATAGTGCACCCCACGTCCTCCCAGGAAGGGAAGAGCAAGCTCTTCTGTGTCAGCTGAGCAGTTTCAATACAGCTCCTGAATTTTTTATAAAGTTAAACACGGAAAGAAATTCCTCCTTTTCTAAAGGCAGTGTGATAATACAATGGGCTTGGTAAGCTGCTCCGTTTTTATGATATTTTAAGGAATCTGTTTCTTATGTTCTTATGGCATCATTCAGAAATCAGTATGATACCTGACTTGCACTGATACGTCTAAATGCAGATGAAAACTGCTTTGTGTGTGTAACTGTCAAGGTTTACTAACTGTCAAGTCACTCTTAACATTACATTGGCTGTAAGCTAGACAATCACTAATGCACTTTACTCATATAGTGTCTGTTCGCCGGTTCCCTACCTTCAATGTGCTGGGAAGCTGACCTTATTGTTTTATTTTTTTCTTGAGTCAGATTTCTGGCAAGTTCTAAGAGGTAGTAAGGTATTGGTTCATAACTCTAACCCCTGTAGTAAACTGTAACCACCTCTGAATTGTATTCTGCATTGACATGTCTATAGGAAGGAATTGTAATTTACAGAGGGTAGACACTAGCACCTCCCAATTAATATAAAATAAACGGCCGATAAAAGACATGAAGATAAATGTATAATCCATCTATTTAAATCCAGTGGGCAGCCTGGGCTTGGCACAGTTTCTGGCTTCATAAAATAAGATCCATAAAGGGTATGGTTGTTATACCATTGAGTATTTACTCTTACCTAAGTGGAGTTGAATAAATGGTCATTCATAGAGTGACTCAACAGCACAGCCCTAAACCACATGCTTGTGGGGATCCACACTCACCTTCCCACCCCAGGCAGACATTAAGCACGCCCTCCAAGGTAATACTGCACCTCATACTGTAATCATCATGCAAATTAGTATGAAATAATATGGGGGTTTATTGCAGCTTTGTGAATGTACTAAACAAAATTAGCAGTAATGCGCTAATCTGAGCCAAGAGAAAAATTTAAAAGTAAAAGAAGTTTCTATTTTTACAGTTTCAGATAGAAGGGAATACATAGAAAAGAGTAGATGAACATAAGCATGAACAGATTTGGGCCAGCCTAAATTATCTTCTCACTGAGAAATATCTAAGCAGCAAGGCAGACATGTTATTATGACAGGAATTATAGACGATGGACGATAAATCGATTGTATCTGTCGTCCAGGACAGCTCTCCCGTTTGATGGGATATGGAGGGATATGCTGACCTGGTCCGACCGTAATGCTTTCACAAGACCCCAGGCTCTGTGAGCACAATGGTACTGAACAGGCTTTTGAATATGTATGACAACCATGGACTATCACCGGCTTAAGTTGTTTCAACAGAATTGTGTCAAAATCTGTACTGGCAGTACTGAGGCTCAGTATCAGTCATTCTGAATTCAGCATCTTAATCTTCGTTAATACTGCTGTGATTTTGAAAGAACAGAGGCTGTCAGTGCTAGTGATATAAAGTCCGAATTGGTTCCTGCTAGTAATACGTCACTGTCCATATCTATTATAGCTAATTATCGTGGTGCAAACATCATGAGACCGATTCCCTAAATTCCATTTGTAACCCAGAACCCCCTGTTATTTTTACTGATAATTAATAATAGAATCGATTCTTTACTCCAGTCACATCCGTCCATCTGTCCGTCTGTCTGTATTTCAAACAGATTCTAGTCAGGGTCGTGGGATGGTAAAGAATAGTTTTGCTGTTTTATATTCATTATTTAATTAGTTTTCATCTAGGATCAGAAATGCTAAAAGACAATGAACAATAATTCAAGGGCATGACAGTATAACAAGACAGAGAGTCGGGCCCCTGCAGCTTCTCTGCATTAATGATGTCGAGTTGCTGTAAAGAATATCAGCACCAGCTGGACAGAAGAGGGGGAACATGTCAGGGGAGGAAGCCGCCATCTTTGTGCGATGCTCTGTCTGCCACATGCTGATTTTCTTTCTAGATGCTTGGTTTTTGATTCTAAGGTTTTCTTGTTTTGGATATTGCAGCTCATTTTTAGCTTGTATGGCGAGGCAAAAATAGACCAATGACTAACTAGGGAGAGAATGTGTAATTTTTGCCAAACAGAACACATTTAGAAGAGGTGAACTGATTTAACTCAGGCCAAAGTCAAGCTTAACGAAAATTCGGGAAAGAGACATCCGGAAGGAGGGTTACTGTGTTTGACCTAGTTACCTTGAGAACTGTGCTTTTGTGACCAAGGCCTGTTCGAGGATGAACTAATGTCAGATTTCTAATATCTAGTGCTTTTTGATCTTTGCCGAACAGTCATGCTATGGAAGCCCATTAAGCTCAGAGATACACAGAATATTTGGTAATGCTTTTACATTAACTGCACCTTCGTAATGCATCCATTATGTTTTCATAGAACATTTACTGCACCTTCATAATGCATTCATAGAACATTCATAAGCAGCATGTAAGAATACCTTAACATCCCTTAACAGCTTTAATAAACATTAATTTGAATGTTCTATGAATGCATAACAAACGCATTATGAAGGTACAGTTATGTATGTAAAGCATTACCGGATGTTTTGTTTTATTAATAATGAATACATGTTAATCATTGATGACTTCTGACTCTCGGAATATTAAGACTAATTTAACATTTTATACAAGATTAATGATTCTGCACATGCTTATTCATGAACAATAAGGAAATGACACAGGAATTGTATCTAGCAGGTATTGCAAATGGATGGCTTATTTGATTTGATTAATTTTTATAGACA